ACGTAACTAACGTAATATACCTTTGATTAAGTAATATGACGATAAAGTTGACATAATTAATTTAATATCCTTTACGTGACTTACTATACGTAACTAACTTAATATACCTTAATATACCTTTGATTAAGTAATATGACGATAAAGTTGACATAATTAATTTAATATCTTTTAAATGGCTTAATATATGTAACTAACTTAATATGCCTTTGATTAAGTAATACGACGATAAAGATGTTATTGAAATTTGTTTATCACTTGATAAGATTTATCTATATCATTGATAAAACATGCATATGCCTCATTCGTAAATTTGTCTAATTAAAACTACGTAATAAAATAAATATTTCAGAACAGTGATAGTAACATGCAGTAATAATGATAAGTCGAAATGATAGTGATAACGTGAAATAATAGTGTTAATGTGAAATAATAATGGTAATATATGATGATATAAAGTAGCGATAATTAGCAGACTTGGTAATTTTCTTAACATAAATTCAAAAGAAAAAAAAAGTGAAAGTTTTAATGAAAAATTATAAATTGCCAATTGTATTTTCCATATGTAATTTTTTGGAATAAAACAAATTTTTCGAAAAATTTTTCATAATTTCGAAGTGAATTACAAACTAATAAATTAAATATATCGTCTAAAAAGAAAATATAAATGCAATGGGAAAGGAGAAATGTAATGGTGTTGAAGATAGATATGGTCAGCAAGATTTAGCTATTCAAAAGTATATGCCCTTATTGACCACATCATCCATCCTTGACCTCGTGCTATTTATCCATTAACATCACTCTATCATTCTTCCTCAGTTAATTACTTCTAACACAAACTTTGTATTGATTATAGCTTTATCTTTGAAAAAAGCTAAATACGACCGATGTTAATGATAGCATTAGATGATGAAAATATAAAAAGTAAAGCAGAAATGAAGTAATAAGAGAAATTAGTGGTAATATAGCAGCGGAAAATAAATCGGGAAGTGATAATATAGCAGCGGAAAATAAATCGGGAAGTGATAATATAGCAGCGGAAAATAAATACAGGAAGTGATAATATAGCA